TGCGATGAGTTGCATTGAAGTTGTGGCAGTTTTAGTTCATTGAAGAGAAGAAGAAGGAGGCGATGCTGAAGGAAAAAAAGACTCTCAGAGAAAACCTTAAAATATGCCACAGGCAATTGGGAGGCGCAGCCTATTTTCCACTTGTTTTCTACTTTTAGCTGCCGATAGCTCCTCTGCCTTTTATTTTCCCTCTTTTCCTCCGAACTTGCGATTTGGTGACGTTTTTGTTTCGGTGAAAAAATAATAATTTTTTTTAAAAGCACTGTTTTTTCAGGTGGCGTTGTGGCAGATCAGAGGCCAGATGAAGTTGGTGTGAAATACCTCTGTGTGTGCCAAGCTATATTACATTACATGCTTTAGTGTGTTTTCCATCTGGCGGCTATAAAGGGGGAGGGGAACGAGGGAGAGAGAGGGAGGAGAGGGAGGAGGATTGGCTATCTTCTAGACAGCACTGTAACAATGAGCCTGCCTCAGCAATTTTCAAAACATATCATCAATACACGACTGGGAGCTCGCGCTTTTAAATATTAACCCTGTGGCAACCGGGGCAGGCTGCGGAGAGCTCAAGTGGTTTTGCGGCATCCTCTGGAGCCGGATCATCCAATAAAAGACGTCCTGGGGGATGAGCTAATTTGCTGTAGGATCCTAAAGAACATTTGCCAGTTATAGAGCACATTGGCCTAATGAACAGAACAGATATATGCAGGTTATGTTACCCATCAGTAATTGCCACATAAGGAGCCCGAGTTAGATTTGCAGCTGGCTTTGAGCGAATTGATACACAAGGGGCCTCATTCATATGGTGTAACTGTCATCTTAAATTTATCACCCGTTTTATTTTTTTCCTCCTCCTTCAGAAAAAGCACAAGTGAGCGGTGAAATATGAAATGGCACACAGGCAAAGAACCGCAATTAGTAACTTTGCAAATATTGTGATGTTTTAAGAAGCTTTTCATAAATCAAGACACGCGCCATATAATTCTTACACCACCCCCCTCCATCACATCGCACAAACCAGCATCTCCGTTGCTTTGCACGCACGCAATCTCCCCACTGGCATCACGGGATGCACATGCAAGGCTTCCATATCTTTATATATGTCCACCAGAAGTCAATGGATTTACATTAGCAATCACAGAGTGGATAACCGCCCCAGTCCTCCATCAATCTCTGATGGGAAATAAAAATGAAATGCACTTCTCAGGCAACTCAGATTAAGGATCACGCTTTTATCAAATACTGAAGTCTATTTCAAGTCGTGCTCATAAATAACTGAGGGGGGAGAGAAGCAGGAAAAGAACGAGTTCGGAGGCAAAAAAGAAAAAAAAAGAGCAGGACAGGCTGGAGAGCGGGTGGGGGTGGGTGTAGGTGCAGACAGAGAGCATCGCGGTCCGGAGCTAAGGCCACTTAGGGTTGGGGAGAAAAGAATCAGAGGGCATTTAAGCATTACGTAAAGTCTGCATCTCCTGTCTAGGAATCTACGCCCGTTACCAAGGGAAGTGCAATGCAGGTAAACACGGTGTTGTTTGGGATGCTTTTCCCTTCTTCCTGTCACCTCTCTGAGTTGCATTTCTCCCATACTCCACCTACTTACAGAGCATTGGAGTGGCTTTCCCAACCATTTAGATTTCCCACCATAGTCTAGACACTCCCCAGAGACTCCGCCATCCATTATAAAGATGGAGCTTTCAAACTGAAGAGGAAGTGAAGGCCTCACACACAGAGTGTTCTGCCTAAAATGTCCGTCTGTCTCCGACCGTCGCCGGCTCGAGATCTGCCGTCTTAATATTTTATGCCGATCTCACCTCTCGTCCGTAGCGCCGCTACTTACAGAGCATCTTCTGTCGAGCCACACTCAGATCTCGTCGTTAGAAAGACACCAGAGGAGACAATGAGAGTTCTCGCTCTCATCCCTGCGAGCTCCCCGTGGGGTTCTGGGCTATAGTCGCGGCCGGCTCGCCCGAACGCTCGGACCGAGCCGGTGCGAGCCCCGAAGGAAGACGGCGGCTCCACTCTGATGCTGCCAGGCTGGTTTTCTCTAATCACACACTTCACTTTATGGAGTGACCAGTTTTACAACTTGGCGGCCAAGGATCTGCACCTATGCTCGTTTTATCGATTTATGGGTCTCCATCAGCTCCACAGGTAGGTATTGACATTTCTATACAGCACACGTCACGTGAGGAAAGGGCGCCGGGGAAGGCCGTGCAGGCAGAAACAAGCGGCTAAACGAAGCCCTTTCTCCTCTTTATCCATTCCCTTATTATTCTCACACTGACAGGAAGTTGCGGCACTTGCAGGGGCAGAGCACTCTGCTAATAATACTCACATGAGAGATTTTTCATATGAAAATATATTAGAATTGGTGATAAGTAGGCAAAGCTTATGTTTGGACTGTGATTTGCCATAAAGAAAAAAACGAGATATTGTGTAATGCCATCAAGACGCTCTGGCAGCCAATAAATATGCATAAAATAACAAGAAAAAAAAGACAGTGTGTTACTTAATTCTGTATCTCCAGCTTTCTGACACAGCCTGCATATTTAGCCTTGAAAATGGTAATGTTTTGCTTCCTATCCCTGGAAGATATCATTAAACATCATTTGTAAGCATACATTACCCTATACGCAGCAAATCGCCCATCTGGTGATTTTGGAACTCGCTGTCTGGAAGACAATAAATTCATTGTATGCTTTCGCATAAAGAATCCCACTAAAGTAATGCCTCCATGTAGACATACGTCGAGTACATTAAACCTAGCCGTGTGCACAGACTGTATGTCGTGTTAATAATGCAGTGTTTACATCTTGGCATTGAGCAGTCAGTACTGGCCTAGGGGTACAAACTGGCAGGGCTGTGCAGTAATTAGGAGCTGTGTGTTGGGGATGTGAAGGCTTGCCGCGTGTCATGCTGATACCACTGCTGGGCGGACCTAGTGTGTCGGCAGCGGGCACACTGAGCGCTACACAAGGCCGCGCCTTGGTGGCGCAGCCGGGAGTCGAACCTTTTACTTCAACGAGTGCTCCTGCGGGCTCAGAGCTCGGCCGCTGCTCGCCGTGCAAAGGAGCGACACGGAGGATGTTAACCTAATGACAGCGGGGATTAGGTGTCTTCACACTGCGAGCGCACCGTGTGTGGTCTGTTTGTGTTAATCCTCCAGGCCTGTTTGCATTGTGACATCAATAAGCTGCACGGATGCCACATTATGTCTGTTATACGTACATATTATATTATAATATATTATTAAATGTTTACTTTAAACATTTGTGCACATCACCTCATTCGTGTTACATACTTGCACCTGTTATTGTTTCTTTTCACGTGATTCTGCATGACTAAATGTATTGTGGATTATTGAAGCATGTGCTTCAGCTTGTTCAGGCAGTCCACAGTAAACATCGTAGATATTAATATGGAGGCTGGTTTAGAAGCAGCTGTCTGTTGGGTTAACATTTACATAATGCAACACAGTAATTCCTTTAAATCACATCTGTCTTGCAAATACCAACAAAAACTGAAACACTTGGATAGTCTGCATGGGTGCTCGTCATTGAGCGGCTTGCCCTCGAGCCTCGAAATACACCAAACCAACCTGGACGCTATGGTGGCTGTCTCCATCTTTTATGTATTTTACCATATATTCACGATGTCATGGGGTAAACTCTTCTCGGAGTCACACAGTGGTTATTTTCCATCAGCTTTCTCTTCGTGGGAGGATTTGTCGGAGAAAATGTAAATATGCTAGTAATTAAGCATCCTACTCCATTAAACTCTCGGCTTTGAAAAAGGCACCATGAAGTGACTTTTGAGCCATGAAATATTTTAATCATTTTCCTCCTTCTACTCTTTATAGCTAAGAACAACAGGCACATTTTCCTCAAAAAACAATTTCTGTTTAATTAGAAGCCAAAGCTCTGTTACCTGTGGCGTTTGATGTCCTTCTTTTTGTTACATCTTTTAAAGACTTGTTTACCAGCGTTCGCTGTGCACGCGTGCTCCAGCGTTACTTTGAATTCGCCAGCGCGTACAATATTAAATATACATTTCACTGTAAAAACTCCTGGCTCTTCTTACAGCTGCAATGAGAGTAGCTTTGCCACATGCAACACAAGCAAACCCAACAGGATTCCTAACAGCCTCTTGCATCTCCGTTTGACATTAATTGATAATCAAACAAGGCTTCACATTAGACATTTATGAGATCAGCTGAATTATCTATTTAATGTAACCCAATTATATGCAACCCTTGTGCACCAATCAACGCTAATTTCTGACTCATAAATGACAGCAACAACGACAGATTTAATCAATAATAAACATTGATGAAAACTTGCGACCTGCTTAGAAAAAGGGTAATTAACAAGAAGGGAAAGGGCTTCGTTGGATTTCATCTTTTGGAATATCGCTCTGTGATCCTTCGTGTTTATGCCGTTCACAAGAATCTCCTAAGCTCACATTCCACCATCAGCGAGATTAAGTGTAAAACAAACATTCGCTTTCCCTTTGACAATTAGGGATAGACATTTATCATGAATTCTTAATGCAAGCTTCAGCCGCTCCAGTTCTTAATTAAAACCTTGTAATTTTTATAAAATTCTTGCCGTAAAACTAAATTTCATGAATTGTTTAGCCAGCCTTTTTTCAGCACTACTAGCTACACACCCAGCCAGCCAGCTGGGGAAGAACTGAATCCATAGGTGGGCTCACCTGCACTTTAAGGCCAGAGAAAACATCTTAGTTATGCCTTTTAAAAATTCTAATATGAAATGCATGTGTGTGTGTGTGTGTGTGTGTGTGTGGGTTTTCCTCGTCTCCTACATCCACAGCAGAGGATTCACATCCAGGTCTTAACCTTAACTAACACATGTCAACAGAGCGGGCATCAAAAACAACATTACAAGCTTCGGGGAATTCCACACCTGTTAGATTCCACACAAGCGCATGAAATTCTTCCAACAAAAGTGAAGGTAAGTGTGCACAGAGGGGCCTGCTGCTCTTACCAGTCTTGTAAAGAGGGGCACTCCCAAATGCCAGAGGTGATCGTTCAGCAGTCCGCTGTACACCACGTTCCCGAAGACAGCAATGCTTCCTGACTTACACAACGTGTTTCCTGCAGGGACACACAGAAACACGAGCAGGCGTCACCGAAACGGACAAGAAGCAGCAGAGGGGCGCCTCCAAAAAACACAAATAAAGCAATTCAATCGCAGGAAATCATTGCACAGGAAGAGGCATCATAGAGAATGCAACATTGATTGTTATAAATATTGATTTTGAGGTTTATTGACCTTACGTGCAGTAAGGAATACAGATAGGTGGCTTGGCTACGATCAATAAAGTTACACAATTGGGTCAAGTTGATCTACCAGCATAATATAAATAACCAAATGAGGTTTAGTATCAACAGGAAAACAGTGGGGAACATTTAATACGCCAGAAAATAACCGTGAACTGACCACCATCACATTTAAAGGATATCCTCTATAACCACTTAACTACCCCGTGTCTGTTATGGAATCAGCTCAAAAGTATGAACCCAAAATAAAACAGTTATTGCTCCTAAACCTTTGCGATTATAGTCTTGACTCGGTTCTCCCGTGAGATGTAGCACTTCAGGGACTACTATTAAAATGTCACAATAAGTGATCTGTGATAAATGCACTTCACCGAGGCACATCATTTTGGCAAAGTTTCAATGTATGATAAATTTACAGTTCTGTTTTTTGGGATCTCGAGCATAACGCGCACAAATAAAACACCGAAGCTTTCAGTTTGATGAGAAATGTGCATTTTACCCAGATGCTACCCAAACGGGTTAATAATGGGCCTTGGTAATCTGTGTTCAGGCCGGCGCAAATTACTCGCAGAAAGTGACACAGCCATACTCTAACTTACTAAGTGCAACGCTGGCATAAAATTTGCATGTTTTTGGTGTTTAATTCAAAAACCAGGGGACTGCTGAAAAATTGATTTTCGAGGGTGCTAGTCCCGAAGTCACGTCCTGTCTCGCAAGTCTTCCGACGCAACCTCTGCAGCTCTCGCCGAGGACGTCCGTCACCTTTACTGTCTGTGATCCGAAATAAACGAGCAGCTTCTGCAGCACCCGATATTCAAATCTGCACCGTTCGAGACTCAAAGTTAAACAACGGTTAATTTGTTGGTCCCCGTGCCTACTTGTTCCTATTAAGTTTTACCATGTGCAAATACATCTTTGGTCAGCTCCGGATCCAATTTAGAAGTGGGGGGCTTATGTATGATTACAATACAAACCCTCAATATTCTCAGTTTACAGCAGGTGCACAAAAAAAAAAGCAAACAGGACACAAACACAACACACACAGTCCACCAAAGCGCCGCTCTGGCTGAGAATACAGAAACTGGATTTCAATGAGCATTATTGCATAATAGAATGGCAGTGCATCCATTGCTGACAATATAGAAAGATACATGCTAGATATGCCTACCTGTCCTGGGAGTACAGTATAAATATTGTATATATAGAATATCATTAGTATGTACTCACTGATATCCACTGATGCTCTCGTCTGAATCATTGTTAGCATGTTATAGCTGTTTCTCTCCCACCTGAGTATATGATTGGGTGATATAACAAAATGCATAAATACTAATAAACAGCAATAAACTGCAGGTTTAAATGTTAATTAATCTATTGGATGGCTAAACTCATGTCATTCCTTTTCCACTGAACAGTGTCAACCCACACTTGGACACGGAGACGTTTAATGTGCGATTAGCTTTAAACTCAAAGCGAAACTTTTTACCACACTTTTTCATGCAGTCACGAACGAGCAGGAGCTGAATACCATCATCTTCTTTCTCTGTGAATCGCCCCTCGTGCTGTTGTGTATCGTCTCAGCCGTTTTTAAAAATATATATTTTCGTATTGAACTTTGTGTGTTGTGCCATGATGTATGTGTATAATTTTGAGTTTGTTGTGTTTTGCTGATTTGTGTTTGTTTTATTGTTCTCGTTTTATTGCCCATCCAAGGATGGCCAAAGCAAATTAACTTATGCCATAAACGCTATGGTATGTATCACCGATTGCCGCTCCGCACCGGTCCCCGGACGAATGAAAATTAAACCTTCTCTTATTGATGAATCTCTTACTGTTGAATAAGTTAACTGCAAGTGAGCCCAGAGGATCCCGAATACTTTGGGGTCTATATGAGGTTTTCGTAGTTGCATAACAACAGTGGCATGCTCGGCAGACACACCAAACCGCTAGCAGACTGTCAGGTTTACTGTATCACAGAGAGCATCATCCTTCTTTATAAGTCATGTTCGGTGCCACCGAGCATCACAGTTCGCCCTCTCAAAGACGCTCTTAATTAGCTCGGTGCCAATGAGGTGCCTTCACAAACAAAAACGCACACATGCGTAGCATGCGTGCCCACACACACGGCCCCGAGAGTGTGATGTGCCGCACTCTGATGTCCCTATGAACGTGATGAATGCAGCTTACGGAGCAGGCGGCACAGAAAACACAGGTCTCCATTGTAATTTCTGCACAATGGAACGCTGCAAAGGCACACCAGGGGTGGAGTGAAGCAGTGCTGACAAGCAGCACATGCATTATTTAAAAACAAAAGTAAAAAATGCCCATTAAAGTGTCAGTGGTGCTTTCGGCAGTGCTGGCTTGGGCGCGGTGTGCGTATTACTGTTATTAATGGGCCAGGCGTGGGGGGCATTGCTTCGGTGTGATTGCTCTGCTGCTGTTGCTATCCGCGGTTCAAGCCTCCTCTCTTTTTTTCCCCCCATTTCTTCTCTGTATGTGTGCACGAGGAAGAGAAACAGATAAAGAGCGTGCTACAGACAGAGACGGAGAGACACCGAGAGACCCTGAGTGCACAGTCAATGAGCTCCTACAGCTAATATCATTTCACATTATTGAATGCATATTAAGGCAGAGAGACCTTGTCAGATAAATAGGAGCACCAGTGCTTATATCAAATTCTGATCTGCCTTCACGGCCATGTCTAAAAAAAAATGCTGGGAATGTAGTCAGCATATTGAAAATAAGTGCACACCATTTTTCTTTGCAGTTTAACATCAAGGGCTATACATTACCGCTACTGACACAGCAGAATGAGGTCATTGTGCATGTTGTAATTACAGCTGGGTAAACACTCTGCTCTCTGCTGCAACACTGGAAACAGAGCACTGCGAGACTGACAGAGATAAAAAAAAGAGGGCACCGACGCCGATGACTTTTAAGTGTTGGAAAATACTTGCATCAGTGGGAATAAATAAATTGAACACAATGATCACGGGTGTATGATCAATTCCAGAGTGATGCAATGCATTGAAATCAATCAGTGCACCGGCTGTAATGCGGTGCGCAAATAATACATACTCATCCCTGACCTATTCTTCTAGAACCGGTTTGTTATAGTTTTATTGATGGTGTTTATACGCAGGAGACAGAGCACATAATCAAATTTTGCATATTTGCATGTAGAAAATGTCACATAAAAGCGACAACTTAATTTTCCCCCTCACAAACTCTGCAGAACTCTATAGCCAGCGAGCTTTTGTTATTTATTTCTTTACAAAAAATGCATTCAAAGCTGCCTATTCGCGCCAGTGGACCGTCTGTATTTTCCTTCAACTTTAAGAAAAACTGAGCCTAACTAGCGACGTGTTGTCTAGCTGTTCATTTTTTCCTTTTTTTGGTTATTAATCCCCTTTTTTAAGGGCTTGTCTCAGCAGTTGGGTGTTCTCTCATCTGCAGGCTTGACAGCATTGAGCCCAACCTCTGATTAATTATTAATTGTGTGATTAAAGTATGTGTTGGCGGGGGTATGCAAGTGTATGCGTGTGGCTCCGAGGGAGGGGGTAGGAGCATGCAACGTGCTTTACTGTACTTTGCATTATCTACAACTCGGAGTTTTTATTTCTTGCATTTCACAGCAAGAGATTTAACTGCAGGCATCAAATTTAATACCCAAATCACCGGGCATGTACAATACCTGCAAGAGCAGAAAAAGGGAAGGAGAAAGTATTGTTTTATTAAGTGATGCCTTGTTGAGTCTGGCTCAATATATGGAGAGTTTGCTCCACATAGATTTCAAGGCTTACGCGGCTATCAGTATTTCAGGATTGAATCTGCTTATAAATTATTCTAAATGTCAAGATTCAACCTTAAACTTGATCATTTTCAAACTTTTCTAAAGAAGAAAACAGAAATGTTCACTTGGATAAAAGTGGATTCAGTTCAAATATTTATTATATTTCTCCCATATATGCAATCATGAAAATGCACCATCAGTGCATCAGAGAAGATGTATTGACAGCTCTGAAAATTTCTCCATCTTACCAAGTCTGCACTTGAGCCCTAAAGAAAATTCAAAAAATACATTTCTAGTCCATCGCAGCCCGTTTGTTCCAGAATATTCTGCAGCACAAACGAGGTTCAGCCGCGAACGTATTTGTCTCAACAAAATCAAGTTAAACGCTCAATTACAGGCCGAATGAATTAAAGAGATGAGAGGAAAGTTTGGCCAGCGTGTCTACAGTAACTGTGACTCATTATAATTAATCCGAGTCCTTCTAAAAACAAAGCTATAAGCATTTATGGGTACATTTATTTGAAAACAAAAACTGACTAATATGAAAATGCAGAGTGCTGGATCTGAAATATTTAAAGGGATTATTAGACAGCACTAAAACATTCATAAAAGACATCCCTTAGTTCCATCTTTCTTAATTGGGAGGACTTGCTTCTTCATCCTTTATGGTGTAAAGAATATGTGTAGGTTTGGGACTGTTGTTCGGGAAAAAGGCAATTAACTGTAATGATATCACCTTGGGCTTTAGAAAATTGTGATGGGCATTTTCACCATTCTCCAACACTTTATAGTGTAATGTCCATTAGGCAATAATGGAGATAATCATTAGTTGCAGCCCTGCACAGTTTAGCAAAACAAACTAGTTAGTTCACAACGTGCATTATATAAGAGAAGCGTAAGAGAGCCATCTGAGCATAACGTTGTGGTCATTCAGGTGTGTGTGTGTGTGTGTGTGTGTGTGTTGGGGGCCTTCCGTGCTCCTCTCCTGGCTTTGCCGTTGGAGGTGGGTCGCTTTAAGCAT